CTATTCTTCATCTCCTGATGTTGTTAATTTAGGTAAGCTAATAAATATGTTGGTGATATGATTTTTAGTATTGTGTTTCTAAGAGCATCTTGTTCTTTTATGGACAAGATTTTTGGCATAGAGTTAGTTATATAGAATATTTACCCAAATGACATTGTATCTCTGCTAATGAAAATGACATGGTATCAATTATCTCCCTAATTGTCATTAAATTGCAATTTCCCCAAATTCCATTGTCTATGTTGATTCTCATATGCAAGGAGGAAACCTTAAATAGTCATCAAAGAGGAACCAAAATCCACTTTGGATTTCAAGAGAAATAGAGGAAAAAATGCCATTGTGTCAAAAATGCTCTGCATCTTGGTTGATCATCCCAAGTTCACGTACAAAAATTAAACAAAAACACAAACTCAAGTTCTCGAACACAATTGGGAAAAGTAAATGTGCATAGTAGTTAATAATAGGAATTCTAACTAATAAAACTATCCTACACCTTAATGGCATGATTACTTCATTTTTTTTTTGTTTTCTTTGTTTTTATTGGTTTTAATTTGTTGGTCACAGTTTTATTGTTTTATCACTATGGATAAAACATGGATAAACTCAAAAGAAGCCTCAAGTCCAGATTACATAGAAGGAATTTTGAATTTTGTACATTTTACATTTGAGAAATCTGCAAAAGCTGGGAAAATATTGTGCCCTTGCAGGAGATATGCAAACTTAATTTGGTGTAGTAAAGAAGAGGTTGTTGATTCTTTAGTAGAAAGGGGTTTTCTTAGAAATTATAACTAGACTTCTCATGAGAAGGATTTTGCAGCGGTGAATTCTAGTGAAAATCAAAATGAAGAGGAAATAGCTTTTAATCATGATATTAGAGGGTTGCTACAAGATGCTTTTGCAGAGGTTGATATGGAAGATAGCATCCACGATGAGGTTGTAGATAGTTTCAATTCTGGAAGTGCTTTTAACCGAGAACCTTCCATGTTTGGAAATCATATGGATGGCTTTTTTAATTTGTTGAAGGATGCTGCGCAAAAATTATACCCCAATTGTGAAGAGAGTAAGTTAGCTATTGTTGTGCATTTATTTCACCTAAAATGCTTAAATGGGTGGAGTAATAAGTCTTTCACTCAATTATTAAAGTACTTGAGCTTCTTGCTACCAGAAGGGAATGTGTTGCCTAAGTCTTATAGTGAAACCAAGAAAATCATTAGAAGTTTAGGCTTAAGTTATGAGAAAATACATGCTTCGCCTAACGATTGCATGTTGTTTTGAAAAGATAAAGCTAATGATGATTTTTTTCTGAGTCTGGTGCTTTGAGGTGGATTGTTAACACAAATATTGAGGAAGATTCTATAGATGGCACGATGAAAAAGAAAAAGCCAAAAGCTACTAAGATCTTACGATGGTTTCCTTTAATCCCAAGATTACAACGGCTATACATGTCTTCAAAAACTACTTCTCTTATGAGATGGCATGATGAAGAACATACTAAAGATGGAGTTATTCACCATCCTACAGATTCCATTGCTTGGAAACATTTTGATGAAAAATATCCAGAGTTTGCTGTTAATTCTCGAAATTTGATATTGGGTCTAGCTTCTGATGGATTTAACCCATTCAAGTCAATGAATGTCACATATAGCACCTGACCTGTTATACTAATTCCATACAACCTGCCTCCTTGGTTATGCATGAAGCAACCTAATTTGATACTGTCACTGTTCATTCCTAGTCCAAAAAGTCTTGGAAACAAAATTGATATCTACATGCAGCCACTCATTGAAGAGTTATAACAACTATGGGACACTAGGATTGAAACTTTTGATGCTTTTAAAGGGGAGAGATTCCAGTTGAGAGTTGCATTATTGTGGACCATCAATGACTCTCCAGCTCGTGCAATGCTGTCCAGGTGGAATACTAGGGGGGAAAAGGCTTGTCCATGCTGTGCTTATAATACAGAATCTATGTAGTTATATCACAGTAGGAAATATTGTTATATAGGCCATCAAAGATGGCTAGATCGAAGGCACAAGCATCGATATGATAAAAAAATCTTTTGATGGAAATAAGGAGCTTCGAATGCCACCTAGTCGAACATCCAGATTAGAAATTTTGAGTCATGCAAATGATGTGAATATATGGAAGGGGAGTCAAGTCAGCCTTTGAAAAAGATTAGTATTTTCTTCACTCTTCTTTATTGGCAGCACAATCTACTTCCCCACAACATTGATATGATGCACATTGAGAAAAATGTCTTCGATAACACTTATGGAACAATAACTGACCAAGATGGAAAAACAAAAGACAATTATAAAGCACGTTGTGACCTCCAGGACATGGGGTTGAGGGTTGATCTACATCCAAAACTAGGATCAAGTAATAACTCTAAGTTGCTGCCCAAAGCTTGTTAACAAATGACTGCAAAAGAGAAAGATGCATTTTTTAAGGTCTTAAAGGACATTAAATTGCCTGATGAGTACTCATGTAATATCTCTCGTTGTGTTCAAGTTGAATAGCGGAAGATAATAGGACTTAAAACTTATGATTGCCATATTCTTACGGAAGAACTTCTACCAGTGGCAATTCGAGGATCTTTGCCTAAAAGAGTTGCTTCAATTATTATTGAGTTGTGTCACCTCTTCAAATGCTTGTGTGCAAAAGTTCTCAAAGAATCTGATCTTGATGAGTTAAAGTCTCAATCTGCAATGATTTTGTGTGAAATGGAAAAGATCTTCCCACCTTCATTCTTCACTATGATGGTACATCTTATCATGCATTTGGCAGAAAAGGTAAAGCTTGGTGGGGCAGTTGCTTATAGGTGGATGTACCCCATTGAACGGTTAGTTTAATTCTTAATATTTTTTTATTTTTGTGATAATTAATTCATTAATTTGCAACAAATCTAAAAAATGTTGACTAATTTATGATTTTCTTAATTGTTTCTAGGTTCCTCCTTACACTTAAGAATTATGTTTGTAATATAACTCATCTAGAGGGATCAATTGCAGAAGCTTATTTGTCAAATGAGTGTTTAACATTTTGCTGAAGATATTTAGAGGGGGTTGAGACAAGATGTAATAGACCTTTACGTTATGATGATGAAGATGATATAGAGCATTCTAATGAGGTAAAAGAAAACCTAATAACTCCTTTAGGTCGACCATTGGGAAGGGCACAAATACACATGGCTGTTAATCTAAAGAAATGAAAGGGGGTGTTAAGGATAAAGCTTGACTCTCAGTCCTTGCTCCAAGCCCATCGATACATTTTTTTTAATACTTATGAAGTCACTCCCTTCATTGAGTAAGTAGGATAAATACATCTTCTTCTTCTTCTTTTTTTCACTTTTATATGACTAACCTACCTATTTAATGTTTTTAGACAACACAAGGATTTTTTAAAGAAACAACATCGCTCACTTCGCCTATCACAGTTTCAGATTGAAAGGCATCATTCCTTGACATTTCATGAATGGTTTCATGATCGAGTAAGTTTAAAAGATAGAAACTACATGGCATATGATTTTTGGCTTCACAAACTAATGTGTTAAATTAATATTTTGTGTTAACAGGTTACACGAATGGAACAACAAGGTTATGCTATTTTTCAAAAAATTAAGTGGCTTTCAAAAGAACCAAGTGATGTTGCTCTGACCTATTCTGGATATTTGGTAAATGGATTAAGATTCCATACCAAAACTCATGAGAAGAACTTGAAAACACAAAACAGTGGGGTGGCAGTTATATAAAAAATCACAAGTTATTCTAGTAGAAAGGATAATCAACTAGTGGAAGGAGAGATAAATTTCTATGGTGTGTTGCAACAAATAATAAATTGAACTATTCTGGTTTCTATAGAGTTGTGCTTTTTAAGTGTGATTGGGCGGACACCCAAACAGGATGCAAGAAAGATGACTTTGGTTTTACGTTGGTCAATTTCAATCGTTTATCTCACACTAGTAGTAATCCTAGTGATGACCCCTACATATTTGCTTCTCAGGCTAGTTAAGTGTTTTACATTGATGATGCAAGAGAAAAAGATTGGCAAGTAGTCAAGCATGTGAAGGTCAAAGGTGCCTTTGATTTGGGAGAAGTGATACCTATTAGAGAAGATGAAGTTGGCGGAACAGACATGGCATCCACTTGGATTAGGAGAGAGATACTGAGGAAGAGGGGATTATTTTAACACCAAATATGGAAGTTCAAAACTATGATGATGAAGAAATTGATGATTAAATTTGAGTTTGCAGTACAAAGTGTAGTTATTAGTTTCTCTAATTTTGTTCTATATGTTATTATTTTGTGTAATGTATGACTATAATTTGAAATATAATAGTCTATTTTTTATATTTTTATCTTATTAGTATTTATTACTTTTTCAATTGTTTTTCTTGGTTGAATGATGGTTATAGATGTATTTATGTAATTCTTATAAGTTCATAAACTTGGCTTGCTTTTTTAGTATATATTTTGACATTAAAATATAAATTCTCATTATTATCATCTTTTTTTTTTTTCTTTTAGGATGCCAAAGCGTAAGTGTCTCAATATTGTAAGGGTCTAATCAAACAACCAAACTGAAGCTGGTTTACCCTCTTCTCCATCCATAAACAATGAGGTTGAGCCAAGCCAACAACCTACTCCATCTAGAAACAATGTGGGTGAGTCAAACCATCAACATGCTGTCCTAGAAGACACAAATTCTAGATGTAAAGTTTTTACTTAAATTGTTGTTTTCCAAATTTATAAGATGAATTTATGTGAATTTATAACTCATGAATGTATTTACTATTAGCACCATCTCGGCCACCTAGAAAGCCAAGAGGTCCAACATTGATGTCCCACATGTGGGAGTTGGATAAAGGTGTCAAGGTCAACGTCATATTTGATGCAAATTGCCACCTAGTTGGTAAAGAAGGTCGCACCTTGACTCGATTCCTTGGTACTGTTGCAAGGAATCAAATGTTACATCTATTAACTACAGGGAATGGAAGGATATGCCTCAAATTTATAAGAATGACATGTGGAAGATTATTGAGGTAAAAAAAAAAAAAAGGCTTATACCCTTAATAGGTTAGTAAACTTGGTGCAAATTTGGTATATTACTTCTTATTTTATAAATTTGGAATAGTTTATTTGCCTAGTTTTATGACTATATGCTACCATTTTTGGAAGTTTTTTTGGTTTGATTTAGTGACATTTGCATGTCTTTATTTTCTCCCATTCTGTCATTTTGCTATGGAGCTATAATTTAGTCTTTTGTATCAGAATGAAAGTTACTGGCTGTGCTATTTTTGTGAACAAATTTTTGATGATTCATTGTAAAATAATTTTGTTTGATTCTTTGTGGTTTTATTTTCCTTCAATAATTGTCCCTTGAGCAGGCCAAACTTCATTGATTATGAGCAGAAAACATTAAGCGTTATGGGTTGGGCCAATTGGCTTAGCAAAATTTTTAAAGGTTATGAAGAGAGTGGTTCAGAGGAGCATTATAATGGGGTTATGGAGAGTAAATTTGGTATATTACTTATTTCATAGATTTAAGTAACGTACATACTGATCAAGGTTAGTCAACCTTGATTCTTTTTTTTTTTTTTTTTGGGGGGGA